CCCTCCTGGGCTCCATTTACCCACCCAGACTACCCGAACCTGCCCTGCCCTCCAGCTAGAATTAACCAAAGACTCAGGATCAGCCATATTTCCCAAATCCTGCCTTTCCCTATCCTCATGACCTTGCTTCTGCCTTTGACCCTCCCCACCCACCACCCAAACCTTACTATATCCATCAATCCTCAGGGACCAGGAAAGGTGAACCTACTCCCTTTCTTTTCTTTTCTTTTTTTAATTGTAATTTGGGTGAAATTTACAGAGCAAATTCACTTTCCATACAGCATGAACCTACTCCCTTCACCTGAGCCTCACACACCCCTAAAATGCTGGGAAGTCTTGCAAATACTCAGGGAACAGCAGAGGGGCTGAGGGGATTAGTCTGGAGGCTGGGAAGAAATGCCTTTCATTTCCCCAGGTTCAAATGCCAAGTGCCTATCTTTGGCAAGAGGGGGTGTCATGGAGGCAGGGACAGCAGGTTCATAGGGAGGGGAGGAGCTAACTGCATAGGGACTCCTCAAGATTCAGACTCTGGAGGCCTCAGGGTGCCCCCAGGCTTTTGGGGTTGCTCTGAGGAGATTCAGCTACACAGCCATCGATGAGGGGGCTTGCCCTCGCCTTGTTGTCAGGTACAGTTGGGTCAGTTCCAACTCACAGCGACCCGATGTACAACAGAACAGAACACTGCCCAGTCCTGTGCCAGCCCTGCAGCCACTGTGTCAACCCATCTCGTTGAAGGCCTTCCCCCTTTTTCCTTCCCCAAGGGACTGGTCCCTCCCGACAACATGACCAAATACGAGAAATGAAGTCTGGCCATTCTTGCTTCTAAGGAACATTCTGCCTGCCCTCTCCTAGGCTCCTATATTGCCCAAAGTTTGGGCTCAGAGGCCACTGAATTGGAAAGCTAGGAACCTGCATTTCTGCTATACACACCCTTCTCCGGTTTGAGAATGCCCTTGGTATTCCACATCTCCTTCAATCCTCAGAGGAAGGTCCTCTCCATTTTACAGATGAGGAAACAGAGGTTCAGCCATAGCTCCATCTTGGGGAGAACGGTCAGATCCCAGCGTTCATAAACCACACCCAAGGGAATAAAAACTGCAAGGGGTGGCGAAGTGGTCGAGAATCTATTGCTTCCAGTTAGGAAATGGGATAGTTCAACTCTGCTTGCACTTTCTTATCCTGCTTTGTCAGCCCCCCACCCCCACCGCACCACCTGCAGTCCAGGGGAAGACCTTGCAGGGTCATGCTTATCTTTCTGGGGACAGCAAGGGAGACTGGGGAGAGACTGCATCCTCAAGTGCCTGGCTGTGCCCCCTTGAACCTCAGTTGGCGGAGGGGGAGATTCCCAGCAGGAGGGGTGTCATACAGTTTCTGTGTCCTGCCCAGAGACTCTTCACTCCCTCCCAGGGAGGAAATTGATTCTCAGACTTTTCTGCAGAGAGAAGCCCAGGCTGCAAGGGCAGGGCAAGGGATGGGTGGGGGCTGGATGGCAATGAGGAGCCGCCCTCCCCTGTCCCACACCATTTTGCCACTAGCGCTGCCTGGCAGGAAAAGCCCTCTGGGCAGTGACCATCACTGATATAGCCCCAACAGGGAGCACCTTCTGGAGGCCCCGAGTTCAGTTGCACAGTGTGACCACTTTCAGTCCTTCTGTTTGTGCCAGTAGGTGGCAGGCAAGTTCCTGTGTTACTGGGTACAATTAAGGCATAATTTACATGTGTTGGGTGTCTGCTTTGTGCCAGACCTCAGTCAGTGATCCTCAGCCTGGCCACTCATTGGGTTTAACTTCGGAGCCGGTTAAAAATTCAGACTCAGGGCCCTATTTCAACCTCTAAATTGCCTGCATCTCAAACAGTCTCCCCTGGGGAGTCCGAGGTTGGACCAGGTTTGTTGAGAACCAGTCTCTGCACCCCTCCCCCACTACAACCCTGACAGGTGGGTATGGGTGGAGCCAAGGGGAACTCTAGTCCCTACTGTAATCTTCATCAAAGTAGCTGGCCCCCATCCTTAAACAAAACTTATGCCAAGTAAGAACAAATACGCTTGTGGTGCCAAGGAAGTTTCGAGATAAATCCCCTGGCTCACCCTTGAACTAGAGAACGAGTCCGTCTCACCGAGGACTTCTGGACCCCCTTGGGGGTCTGCATTTTGTGCCTGTGGTTTCTTCATTTTGCAGGTGAGGTGAGCCAAGTTTAGAAAAGACAGGCTATTGTTCAAAGCTATACAGTGAGTGCATGAGGCTGGGACTGGGTGCCAAGAACCCAGGCCTTGCTCTGGGCTCAAGATAAATCTTCCAACACAACCACCCCTGGAGCAGTAGGTACAGAGGAAAGGAGGACAGGGAGGGAGTGGTGGTGGTGGTGGGGCTTGGGACCTGACAAGAAGCCGGGATTAACCGAGTGGAGGCAGAGGTCCTAGCATGGGGGCGGCCAGGCAGTGACTGATGGTGGGAGTGGCAGGCACAGCGATCCTGCACACAGCGTCTGGCCCCCAGCCCGAGCAGGCGGCTGCCCTAGTAGGAATCCTCTCAGAGGTTTCCGCTTGGGCACCTCTTAGCAAAGCCATTTCGTATTTTTAGATGCTGAGTGTGCTGTGAAGCAGTTTAGGTACCCAGTGGCTGGGATGCCTGCATCTCTCACAGATTAGGGTCTCCTCCGTCCCCTGCACACTCACCCCCTACTGACCTATAACCATTCCTGGCCTGAGCAGGACAGCAGGGCCAAGGCCAGTCCCCCTTCCCAGCCAGCCCCTCTTTGCTCCAATTCTCGCCCTGAGCTGGTGCTGACAGCTCCTATCCTGTCGGTGACTCCTCTCCTGGTAGGTGGCAGTCTAGCCTGCTTCCGACTTGCTGCTGAATCACTATCTCCCAGGGAGCCACGAGAAGGGGAGGGAGGGAGGGCCATGGCTAGTGTCCCCCTCTAGTGCTGCCAGAAGCTAATGCAATCGCAAGGCCTCCCAG